CCTACTTCTGGGAGGAAGAGGGCAACCATCCTTCTTACAGTGCCTCCAGGGGATCCGCTGTGCTCCTATTCTAGCACTGGTGTTACAGGCTTGTTGAGTGTTTCTCCTCTGTTTGCAGGCCTCTCAGGTGGGTGCAACATCAGTGATTCACTACATGGTGCGCCTGGTGCTGCTCACCCTCTGTGGATGGGTGCTGTGCTGGACTTTGGTCAACCTCTTCCGCAGCCATTCTGTTCTCAACCTTCTCTTCCTGGGCTACCCGTGAGTGACACCACCTTGTAACCTTCAGGGTGGGGGAGACCATAGCCACTTGGGGGTGGCATGAGCCACCATGGGAAGCAGAGCTGTTGGCTGTAATTTGTCTCTTCATCTTCTGATTGAAGGGGAAGTAGGAAGGGCTGAGGGATGATGCGAAGAAGTGGTGCTGGGCTGATGATGCAAATTGCCTCAGTATGCTGTTTGCGTGAGGGGGCTTTACTGCAATTGAAGACTGAGCCATTGGGATCGTTGGTTCCACAAATGGGATTTAAAGAAGCTTCTCTGCATAGTTGCTGAAGCTGCAGTCTCTAGCCTTTTATGGGGGAGAAGAGTTGTCCAATACCTTCTGGAGTGAGGGTTCCTATGTGGGGTCCCACGCATTAGTGCCAACACCCGTTCAGTTGCCCCCTGCTTCATGTTGAAATGGCCATCATTTCAGCCTCTTTTTTTCTTTCTTTCTTTCCCTGCAGATTTGGTGTCTATGTTCCTCTGTGCTGCTTTCACCAGGACAGCAGAGCACAGCCCCTACCTGCAGACTGTGGTTACTTGGTACAGGACCAGATGGTGGATGATGGGTCTTCAGCTGTCAGCAGCCTGGTCAAACCCAAAGATTTCCTCTCGCTTCTGTGGGAATCCCTGAGAGAACAGTTCAATAATCCTACGTCTATCCCCACCCACAGCTGCCCCCTCTCCCCAGATCTCATCCGCAATGAGGTGGAGTGCCTAAAAGCAGATTTCAACCGCAGGATCAAGGAAGTTCTCTTCAACTCTCTCTTCAGTGCCTACTATGTGGCATTCCTGCCACTATGTTTCGTGAAGGTAGCTTTTGTCTGGCTCTCTCCGTGCCCCTGCCCGCCGTCTCCTTCTGAATGTTGCGTGAATTGCTGCCAGGCCAGATTCCTGGTTAATTCCCCTTTTCTCTGTCTCCCCTTTGGCAGCCCGGATAGCGGAGCATGGCTGCATCCGGAGTGCACTAGTACTGCTCCTGGTTGGCGGATAGGTATTGCCATAAATGTGATGCACCTCTAGTCCCATCACCCCACTTACTAACTCCCCTTCTCCCACCCCCTGTCCTAGGCAGATGGATAGCTGTGTTCCTCCTAGAAAAGGGAACCTGTTGTTACCCGTCTCAGATCCAACGTCCTGGCTTTCGAGTGCTTGGATCAGAGGCTTTGATGTTCAGCCTGTTGGAAAACAAAGCCAACTAGGATGCTTGGCAAGCTAAATCCAAGAATCTTTTGTCAACGTGGGGGCTGTATTTTTTTTTAATCTGTCTTTTTTCTAACTTGAACGAGCTCCAGTTGGTGTAGTGAAATGGGCAAGGCTTCACAATCCATGTTAGCGGTCTTGGTGCAATTGGTGCTCCTGGGGTAGTTCTGTGGCAAGCAAACCCCCTTGTTACCTGCTGCTGGAGGAGGAGATGCACCAGCTGCAGTGTCATCCCCCTGCCCTTTCTCCTTCAGGTCAAGGAGAAGGGAGTCTTGAGTGTTTCCTAAGCTGTAACCCTCTGAAATCACCGGTCCAAAAGCGCATGCCTGTGATGTGTGGTGTGGGTCTGCTGGATGCACATGCAGTATGTCCCTTGTCATTGCCTCCTCTGCTTTGTGACAGCGGTGCCAAGTTCTTGTCTGGTCTCTTTGCAGAGCACCCAGTACTATGACATGCGCTGGTCCTGTGAGCATCTCATCATGGTGTGGATCAATGCCTTTGTCATGCTCACCACGCAACTGCTGCCTCCCAAGTACTGTGACCTGCTCCACAGATCAGCTGCCCACCTCGGCAAGTGGCAGAAACTAGAACATGGTTCCTACAGCAATGCTCCACAGCATATGTGAGTGTGGGGAAGTGGAGGCGTTGGCATGCCCAGCAAGGGGCTGAGAAGACATTCTAGTAGATAAGCAAGTATCAGCAATGCTTATTTACTGCGGAAGCTTCCCCATTCACCATAGTGCCAGGGGTCACAGGTGCAACTGCTGGTCTTTCTGTACCCTAGAAATAGAAATATCTGCTCTAGAGAGCTGCGGTCACTGCTGGTTCCTTCCCAGAAACAAATGCTGAGATCTTCTCAGCTACTGGATTGTGCAGGGGCAGGGGGTGGCCACTCTGTTGCAGTGGGCTAAATTCTTGCCCTGGGAGCCATCTGTTCACATTCCTCTGTCAGAGTCCATCTGGTGGGCTTGTGATCACAGAATCACAGAATCGCCTAGGTTGGAAGGGACCTTTAAGATCATCTTGTCCAACCGTCAACCTAACTCTTGCCAAAAAAAAAAAAAAAAACCCAAACAAAAAAACCAAACCAACACCAAACCATATTCCCCAGCACCATGTCAATTCGTCTTTTGAGTATCTCCAGGGATGGTGCCTCAACCACTTCCCTGGGTCGCCCATTCCAATGCTTAATAACCCTTTCAGTGAAGAAATTTCTCCTAATATCCAGCCTGAACCTCCCCTGGCACAACTTGAGGCCATTTCCTCTAGTCCTGTCGCCTGTGACTTGGGAGAAGAGACCGACCCCTGCCTCTACACCCTCCTTTCAGGTAGTTGTAGAGAGCAATAAGGTCTCCCCTCAGTCTTCTTTACTCCAGGCTGAACAACCCCAGCTCCCTCAGCCTCTCCTCATAAGACTTATTCTCCAGACCCCTCACCAGCTTCATTGCCGTTCTCTGGACCCGCTCCAGCACCTCAATGTCTTTTTTATGGTAGGGGGCCCAAAACTGGACACAGCACTCGAGGTGGGGCCTCACCAGTGCTGAGTACAGGGGGACAATCACCTCTCGGGCCCTACTCGCCACGCTGTTCCTGATACAGGCCAGGATGCTGTTGGCCTTCTTGGCCACCTGGGCACACTGCTGGCTCATGTTCAGCCGACTGTCAACCAACACCCCCAGGTCCTTTTCTGCCCGGCAGCTCTCCAGCCACTCTGCCCCCAGCCTGTAGCGCTGCAGGGGGTTGTTGTGACCCAAGTGCAGGATCCGGCACTTGGCCTTATTGAAACTCATCCCGTTGGTCTCAGCCCATCGATCCAGCGTGTATCACCTCTCTGTGCTCTTCCAGTGGGAGCTAGGACGTGTCCTTGTGGTAGAGTGTTTTTCAAGGTGCAGCCCATTCCTGTGAAGCCCTGTTCAGGGAGTTGGGAGCGCAGATGGTAACGCTCTGGCATTCTTTCCCCACAGCTGGTCAGAGAACACAATATGGCCGCAGGGAGTTCTGGTGCGACGTAGCCGATGCCTCTATAAAGCAGTTGGGCCTTACAATGTAGCAGTGCCTTCAGACGTGTCCCACGCCCGCTTTTATGCAAGTATCTCTTTTACTTTCTCGAGGTGTTACGGTGGTGGGAGGAGGGAGAGACCCAAACGTGGGCGGTTCAGCAGCAAACAGAATAGCTGTTCTCAGCAGAGGGGCTCTCCCCCTGCAGTACTGCAGTGATGTCTGGGCAAGGTGGAACCCACAGCTGCCTTATGAGTGCTTTCTGATGGCGGTGACACAGCTCTCCCATCAGGCAGTGCCATGTTCTTAAGAGGGTTCTTGTTAACATCTTCCAGGGAAATAGGTTATTTCACCTGTCCTTCCCTGCTCGAGTAAAATGACACTTTCACGTGCTTCACTTTTTGTGCTGCTTTCCCCAGGTAGCAGTTAGTGGTGGCTGCAGTACAACAAACACTTCTTCTGCCCAGCACAGGGGTCGTTAGCTCGGTGGTACCCAACAGCATTACGCACGTACCCCCTCCCCACTTTTAACACTCCAACAAATGGTAGAAATCTGTCCTTTTTTAACTGTTTCCCTGCAGTTCCTTTTTCACCGTCCGTTACGGCTGCTCAACCTGCTGATTCTCATCGAAGGCAGCGTGGTCTGCTACCAGCTCTACTCACTGCTGCGCTCAGAGAAGTGGAACCATACCCTCTCCATGGCCCTGATCCTTTTCTGCAATTATTATGTCTTATTTAAGCTCCTCCGGGACCGGATAGTATTAGGCAGGGCATATTCCTACCCACTTAACAACTATGGACTGAAGGCACACTAGGCCGGCCAAACGTGTACCCCTTCTCTTTCCCTTCCCCTGGGGCAGGGAGGGAACCTCAGAAAAAAAAAAAATATTTTCGTACAGTTCTATTTTTTTCTTGCGGCGTTTATAAATATTTAAAATATTTTATATTTTGTATACTATTGTTTTTGTGGGGCGGGAAGGGAACCAGTGGCAATTAAATGTCGCTTTATAAACAAGGTGTTATTTTATATATATATAAAAAAAAAATCAGTGTGTATATACCGTATATCTATACCCATACATATATCTATGTGAAGCAACAGGATTGTGTGTGTGGTCACTGTGTCTGCTTTGCTCACACAACTGCCTTGCTATTGTGCATACTCTGGGGACAGAACTGCTGTTAGTTAGGAACTGGTCTGCTGTAGAACTTGGATAAGCTAACAGCCAGAGGAAGAAAGGAAACACAAGGGGCTTTTCACCAGTACGAGTTTGGTTTATCTTGGTGACTTCAGTACCAGGGAAATCTTGCACTGGAAATGTGCATCGAGGTGATACCAGTTTAGGGAAAAGGAGGAAGCACTGTGCAGAAAGACAGCTGCTGTTAGTAAAAGCTCTCAGTTCTTTCTCCTTCCCACTGTTAGCAGGATGCAAGTATTATTTTTAAAAAACAACAAACTGTTTATCTTCTCTCTCTTCTCCTAGCAAGTTGGGCTCCCTCACTCTGCCCAGAGAATGAAATGAATATTGAAATAATCATTTTAGGGTAGTGTATCATTTAGGAAGGGATCTGAAATAAACAGCTTGATCTGGCAGGATGGTAATTCAGTATTTTAAACATTCATCTCTAATCCCTTGAGTAATATCACTAAATTAGGGAATATTCAGCCATTTCCTTCAAGTAGTAATATTCCTGGCAGAAATTTATTCTTGTCAAACACTCATCAACTTCCTTATTGCTCTACAGTGCATTTCAGCAGTGTTTCACCCTAAGGTATGTTTAATAAGTTATCATTAATAATAGAGGAAGTACTTTGCTTTTAAATGGTTCTTCATAAAGCTGAACTATACTAGAATCTAGTGAAAAAACTGTTGTGGCAGTATCACCTGGAGGAACTCAAGACAGTATCAGACATATAATTAATTTAACTGTGGATGCTGGTGACAGCTGATGGTAGTTGATGCTCTAAATCAAGTAATTAAGGAGGAGAGGGTAATGCAGTGTTCTTCCATGCAGATGCCATCTGACTTAACTTTAGCCATTAGTAAAGTGCTAGCTCTGTTTAAAGAGTGGATATGTATGGGAGGAAAAAAACCCAAACTGTACTGAGTTTAGGAGAAACTGCAACTACTTTCTGTTCCTTCTTTCCTTCTAAGCTAAGTAAGAATATGGTGATCTTCTCTGTTCCTGTCCACAGGACTGCTGCTCCAGCAGCCTGATCACAAGCCCAGGATACCTGATGAGGCAGGCAACAGGACATGCTTCTGAGCATTAACACCAAGATACTCCAAAACAAGCACAGATGCTTAGCTTTGGTTACTTGTAGGCCTTTTCTTATCTTTCATGTGGCCCTAATGCTGCTGGCAGGAGACAGGTAATTGGGAGTTTACAGTCTGGGGCCTTCCAATTAAACACGGTACTGTGGCTTAGAGCCATATCATGCTTCATGTAGTATAGCCTCATCTTTAAACCATGCCTTAATTCTACCTTGATCACCTCAGGGAGTAGATTTGGGATAAGAGGAGGGTTGGCTTCTTATCAGGCTCCTTGCTGCACATGGCTTTGTGCGTTGCCTTTCTTGTGCCTGGCTTCAATTCTTGCAGTAGCTCAGTCGCGTCGTGTCCATGTCACCTATTTGTAACAGCTGGCTCAGCGCTCCCTAAGTGGTATTTCACAGCATTACCAAGTAATTTGTTCCATTTGGACACCTAAATGATAGTGGGCTTACGCTCAAGCAACCACTGGCAGAAAATAATCTGTCCCAGGTGTGGCTTGGGAAACAGCGATGTGCAACAGAAAGCCTGAACCAGGGCTTTGGGTCACAGAGGGCTCATGCTCTGCTTGCATGTAAGGCTGAAGGCAGCTGTAGCCTTTCTGTTTCACTCTGAGGGACTAAGTAAGGGGGCACAATGCACACTACCTAGCTGCAGGTGTGTTAAGATCCCCCTCTTTCCAAGGGAGCTAGGCATTAATTTAAGGGAAGCTGCCTCTTCCCCTCAAAATGGTACCTTTGTTATATCCTGGAGCAGGAGGAATTCTGTGAGAAGGTTTAAGGTCTGGGGGTTGCACCTTTCCATGCACAGCAGTATGAACTGCCCACACTGCAACTGTCTTCCATCTTTACACAAGGACTCCTAGATGGAAAGAAGTTGCAGAAGATAGTTGCAGCTTCTCCTGTTGGCAAAAAAACCAGCGAGGAACTAGCTAGCACAGTTGGTCTCCCCAGTAAACCAGACTATCCAGTAACAAGCAGGGAGCAGAAATGATGTCTGCTCAGCATCAGTGTTCCTCTCCATTCCTCAAATGGGCCTGCTGCTAAGTCTCATTCAGATGAACACTGAAAACAAGTCCACTCAGGTCAGACTAGGGAAAAAATAAAGACTTATTCCCCATCTTGATCACTCCGTCATGCAAGTATGTCGTAATAAATGGATGGCTTTTTGGTCTGGTGACGAAACTGCTCTAGCTTCAGGCCAATCCTCAGAAGAACAGCTTCATCCCACCATTTTGCCATGACCTGGGAAAAGATGAGTGAGAGAGAGAGAGAGAGACAGAAAGAAGGAGGGGAAAAAAAAAAAAAAGTAGCACCATCACATACAGATGCTCTTGAAAGCCCTACAAAACATAACTATTTTTTTTTCCCCCCCAATGGCACCAAAACTACACATGCTTTTCTCTTTAACCCCAGTAAGTATGGCATCACTGCATGTGGGATACAGGCAGCTGTGTGACTTGTAATTACAAGATATGGACCTCTCATTATCATGAGACCCATTTCAAGAGGGAGAAGAGCAAGGAAGAACTTAAAGTAAGTTACAGAACTGAGAAGTAAGTTAAAAAGAGGAAAGAGTAGTGACGAAATAGTGGATACTAATGCAAGTAGACAGAGAGACAGAGAAATCTACCCCTCAGATACCTGAAGAGTCCCTCTGCCATTCAGGAGTGAGTTACTCTGAGGCAAGTCTCTTCACCCACAAGTTAAAACTTTATTACCAGTATTACCTGCCAGCTCTTCAAGTATGCTGTCTGGAACAGTAAGAACCTGGTTACAGTAGTCCAGGTTCACAAAAAAAGCGTTCACAAAAAAAGCCAGCATTCACAAAAAAAACCAGTGCTCACCTGGAAGTTGACAGGAAGCCCAGCAGTAGAATATCCAATGGGGACCACAAGGCCTGGAATCCCAGTGAAGTTACCAAGCTGCATGAACCTGGGGGAAAAGCTGTCATCAGCATCCCTGCCTTGGGGCAGCAGCAAAGCTGTCTTTTTTGGGGAGAGGTAGCTAGGATCCACCCCTCCTGCATCAGGCAATTTCAGTTCATGCAGCTAATGTTACTCTTCTTACCTCATGGACTGGACTGTGAAGGAGGAATCGCTGCTCCCAGTCAAGAGGTCAGATTCGTAGATTCTTGGGGCAGTGCAAGCAACAGCTGTGGAAGAATCACAGAATGATTGAGAGAGATTGAAAGGGACCTCAGGAGGTCAGCTTGTCTAACCTCCTGTCTCAAAGATGGTCAGCTAGAGCAGGTTGCCCAGAGCCACATCTGAATGGCTTTTGCACATCCCCAGGCATGAAGATTCCACAGCCTCTCTGGGCAACCTGATCCAGTATTTAAAGAGCAAAGGATGAGTCAGGCAGAGGGCAATCTTCAAGGAACACCTCGATTCATTAGAGCCATATGTTTGATATACATTGGTGATGCAAACTCACGCCCCTGTAACACAATCAAGTCACCGAGCTGCATGAATTAAGCAATTAGTTTCTATTTAGAGCAAGAACATTTGCATACATAAGTAGACATCCATCCCTCCTGTGCAAATGTGCTGGCTCTGCAGCTCCTGTTTCAAGTACCAAGGAGGAGTTTCTCCCCATGGATATAGGCAGCAAGTCTATAAATATACAGCAAATCTAGAAATACAGTGTCGTCTTTCTAACCAGGCTGCATTATCTTCTAAAGGCTTCAGGCACGATGAAGTCTTTGCATAAAAGACTCTTTGCTCTTAAAATTGGGGAGGGGAAGTTAATGGAGTAACTGTTCTTAAAATGCACCACACAGCTGTCGGGGACCAGCCCTTTGGCCAAAGCTGCCAATACCTGGTGTAAGGATACAGTTCACAGTGCTGAAGATCTCTTGCAAAAATCTCATGCTCCGAGTTCTCTGTCGATTTGCCTGCAAGCAGAGAGACTACTGTCTGACCGGGCCTTCTTGGTTCACGAGGCTTATGTTTGATGATGGCCCATCAGAGCCAATGCCCTTGCAAAAGAAGACACATTCCCTGTAGTTTGGAATCAACATGCAGGACACCAATCCATGTGGCACGTCCTCTGCTATGCTCCACCATTCAGCATGCTTTCACAGCAGAGGCCAGTACAGCTGAGCGAGATCTTTCCACGTGTATGGGGAGGTTAAGAGAATCACAGAATTGTCTAGTTTGGAAGGAACCTTTAAGATCATCTAGTCTAACCACCAACCTAACCCTGATAAAAAAACACCAGTAAACCATGTCACTAAGCACTGTGTCTACCCATCTTTTAAATACCTCCAAGGATGGTGCCTCAACCACTTCCCTGGACAGCCATTCCAATGCTTAATAACCCTTTCAGTGTAAAAATTTTTCCTAATATCCAGTCTGAACTTCCCCTGGCGCAACTTGAGGCCAGAATCCTGTACCCCACCTACAGAATTTCACTAGGTGCCTTCACTACAATGTGTTCTTTACCGTAATATAATCCAGAGCTGTGAACTGGGAAGCCAAGGCCAGGTTAGCCCGAGTGTCCAAATTCTGAAAGAGAAAACATCAATCATGGCTGAACTTCCCCTGGCGCAACTTGAGGCCAGAATCCTGTACCCCACCTACAGAATTTCACTAGGTGCCTTCACTACAATGTGTTCTTTACCGTAATATAATCCAGAGCTGTGAACTGGGAAGCCAAGGCCAGGTTAGCCCGAGTGACCAAATTCTGAAAGAGAAAACATCAATCATGGCTCTGCTTGCAAGAAACTGAAAGTGACAGCCCAGGAGTTCTCTTCCGAGTCTGCTCTCCTGTACTAGTAGCCATCCAACAGGTGGCTTACCACAGAAAATGCAGGAAAGCCTCAAGCCTCAGGTTTCTCACTGACTTTGACGCTTGTTCTTTATCATCCGGGACAGCTACTGCCACTGATTCAAGCTGCTGCTACTTACCATTTCATGGAAATGTTTATTGAAGTCAGGTTGGAGGAAGTCCCTCATCTCACTGAGGATGCAGATTACGTGTGCTACTCGCACTTCCTCCATCTCTGGCAGAGACACTTCAACCACGCTGGCTCCCAAACTCCGCAGGTGCTCCACAGCTGAGTACAGAACAGGTAAAGGGCAGACATCATCCTGGACTTCACCAGACTTCATACAAATCCCCACCCCCTTGAGAAGTTAGAGACCCCGCAGGCCATTACGAGGCAAGTATGTTCAGTGCATCATGTGGCATGCAGACTGCAGCAGCTGCTTCTCATAGGTAAAAGCCTTCATAGAATCATAGAATCGTCTAGGTTGGAAGAGACCCTTGGGATCATCGAGTCCAACCATCTACCCTACTCTACAAAGTCCTCCCCTACACCATGTCCCTTAGCACTGCATCTAAACGGCCCTTAAACACAGCCAGGGATGGTGACTCCCCCACCTCCCTGGGCAGCCTGTTCCAATGCCCTATCACTTCAGCCTAACATGATCTCAATATTCCAACAGGGCAGGGGTAGGGGCTTGCAAGCAGGTTCCTAACTTACCCACTACATTTCAGGCAAGTTCATCTCCCTCTAGCCCCCCAGTTAACCTAAAAAATAAAGGTGGGCTGACAACACTTCCCGGAGCACTTGACATGCCTGGTATTCTATCAGCATGAAGTGATTATTTAGAATCATGAGATTCCCACCCAAAGCCTCTTCTGAACCATAATGGTAGAGGAATGCAGGGGATACTGAAGAGACCAGGTCAACAGTAGAGGCTCACTAAATCCTGATGCACTTCAGCAAGGCCAAACACAAAGACTTCAGGAAAAGTTAACCTTTTGCAGTCTAGAAAGAATCTCCTCCTTTCTTTGACCCCAACTTCTTCGTAAATACCTAAGCCTGCCTATTTCACTGGCTTATGGTGCATCTATCCTAAGAAAACTCTCCACATGTAGAAGCAGGTCTATGGAAATAAGGAGAAAAACCAGGCAAGCAAAGCCTGAATACTGTGAGCTCTCTCGGCTCCAATGCATAGGAGGCCAACTACTATACCAGGCATTGTAGAGTCTTTCTCTCCCACCCCCCCAACAACTCAGCAGGGTCAATTTTGCCTAGTGTAAAATCTAACAAAGCCACCCTAAGGGCACCATTTGGCTGACTTCATGGAAATACCAGAGGACTGGATACATCACAAAGACCCAGTCCTGTTTTTCTTACTGAATATTATACTGTGAAACAAGTCCCTCCCTTAAAAGTCTTTTACCATTAAAGTTTGCAGACTAAGTATTACTGAGCACAGATCTGTCTTTATACAGACAGAAGCTTAGCACACTAGACTGCATTCTTCCATTGTAACCTGACAAGCCTACAACTGCTGAGCTTTTTAACCCTCAGCAGTCAGGAGGGCTTCCCTAACACAAAGCTACTGCTGTTTGTCCAGACAGACCTCTTTAAGCATCTGCCTTCAAGGACTTCAGGCGAGATCTTTTTAATGTACACATAAGAGGAGCACCAAGCAATACCATGACATCAGAGAGAATAAGAGACTTAGAGACTTTTCCTTTTTACCTTTCTCACAGATGGATAGGACTTCAGCATCACATGCCTAGAGAAAAAGAGGAAAGAACTAAGTAGACTTTAGACACTGCCCTCCTCACCTTGGTGAACACACTCACCAAGACTTCAGTCTTTACGGAGCTTTCCTTGTTCCTGTCCCTAATGGCAGTGAAACACAGCCCTCCAGGACTGCCTTAGGCCACCTGCTCCATGAAAACAGCTGGCAGCTCATCTTTTTCCAGAGGAGAGGGTACTCCTCCTCTGCACTGGGGCAGAGGAGTCCTTGTTTTCCTCCAGGGAAGAAAACCTGACCACATTTGTGGGGTTGCATTACAACTGCCAAGCGGTACTAGCTTGCAAGCCTAGTTGCTACATTGGAATGATGAAATACCACTCAGCAGCTACAGCATTGTCACCAAATGGATGACACTAATACTATACACTAGTATAGTACTAATACACTAATTTTCCTCATTTGATTTTAAACTAACGGCCTTCTGTAGTCAATTCAGAAGCATTGCTTCCAATAGAAACAGCTCTATGAGGAAGCATACTGCCATCAACTGCATAGTCATTACCTTTCCTCCTGCCTCCAACAGACTTTCACTCAAAAGGCTGCCTTAGGAAAAAATCCATCCCTGTCAATGTTTTCACCCAGCCTATATTCTCTTCCAATTATAGGACTAAATATGAGAAGTTCTAATGGTAACAGGCAAGAGAAAAGTGAATGCGCTGAATTCCTTCAAAATCTCATTTTGCAAAGCAGCAGAAAGAGAGAGAGAGAGAAACAGGCACCTTAAAAAATGTCCAGTCCACTCCCAGTTTTAAGCCTTTCAGGTCAGGAGCACACATATCGGATAGGGTTGCTTTGGGCTGTTTTAGTCCTGCAGGGAAGAAACAAGAGTTCCTCATTTTCTCTAGGATACCTCTAGGAAGGCAGAGCACCTGGGATCAGGGAGAGAGAGGGCTCACCCACCATACGGATAGAGGGGATCTGGCTCAGCAAGGATACTGTAAACAATGGCTGCATCCGCCACCGAGGTACAGATAGGGCCTGTGAAAGAGAGATCCGTGGTAAAAACATGACAAGGGGTAAATTGTACCTCCCTCCCAAGGTCTTTTGTAGGCACAGATCGCCTCCCCTGTGAGAAATCTACACAGCAAGGTCCCTGAAGTGGGGCACGAGTCCTCTTACCTACACTGACTGTGGAGTAGGAGAGTGGCAAGCTGCCGTAAGAACTGATGCGCCCAAATGTACCTAGAGAAAGAGAAATTGGCAGTTAGCTAAATACCAGCAGTTGCTAGTTAAGATCTGACCTAGATGGCCCTGGTACACCCATCAGGTAAGCAACAGACCCCCCGACAGTCACTTCTACGTCTGCCATTTCAAAGCCCAGTCACTCGTCTTTCAATACCCTGTTCTGCCACGATCAGACCACAATCTGTCTCGTCAGTGAAACAGATGCATTCAGCAAATAGTGAAACTGTTTTCCCCTCTAAGAAATTATTCAGTTGAGGAGAAATATGTGCAGGGACATTTTGAAATACATGCATTTTAACAGGCAGAAGCAGCATCTATGGCGTGGAAGATGGAGAGCCAGGAGCAGGATTATCAACAGGAGATATCACCCTCTGGAAGATCTCACCCGCTTCACCAGTGAGACTTCATGCCTAACACCAGTTGTCTTCTGCGAGAATCATAGAATCATTTAGGTTGGAGAAGACCCTTGGGATCATCGAGTCAAACCATCTACCCTACTCTACAAAGTTCTCCCCTACACCATATCCCCCAACATCACATCTAAACGACTCCCTAAACACATCCAAGGATGGTGACTCAACCACCTCCCTGGGCAGCCTATTCCAATGCCTGACTACTCTTCCTGTGAAAAACTCTTCCCTAATGTTCAGTTTAAACATACCCTGTTGTAGCTTGAAGCCATTCCCTCTTGTTCTATCACTAATTACTTGGATTGCTTTTCAAGTACTTGTATTGCTTTTCTGACCAGTTACATTTTTGTCATTGTCATCATTATCATTGTCATCATCATCATTCTCAGATGAATCAAGATTAAGCAAGTTGATCACACATGAAGGATGGGAGAACAGAATAATGGCCAAGTATCTGGTCTGAGATGAAGCACGTGAGACCCTTCAGAATGACAAACCATTCCAAAAAGCCAACATCTCTTCCAAGTGACAATCCTGCCTCGCTACCTTCCATGCTGTAGACACTGTCCTGTGCATGTCTTACGTCCTCTGCACATTCCTCTTGATTACCTTAATCTTACTGCAAAAACTGCATTGATACTTATTGTAACACTGAGATAAGAGGGAATGGCTACATCCTGGTTTCATAAAAGCCTATTACCAGGTACAAATCTGAGCAGCATCAGCCTCTCCATATAACTGGGGGGATGGCAAACCATTGTGGGTGAAGATGCTTTTCACTAGCTCACTACAGATACCCAGCTACATTGAGAACACCTCCCAGCAGAGAAGGAAGATTTAAGAAGGAGACAAGGGGGCAGAAAGAAAAGCAGCAAGCACGTTATGTTTAGCATTTGACTCAAGTAAGTTAGGTTTTTTTGAACATCTGTTCAACAGCCAGTACTGAGAATGCTTTCACTCTGCCAGTCCAGCCCACACGACTCTCAGAGTTTCTCTGGTCAAGTTTTACTTGACAGGAATTAACGGACTGTGCCTGACTTACTTGTTTGTGGCATTCTATCTGATACACCAAACATGACACACACACCCTCTGTGATTAAAGGGCTCTACCTTTCAGTCCGACCACACCACAGAATGAAGCAGGAATCCTCACAGAGCCACCTCCATCTGTGCCAATAGCCACTGGGCAGAGACCTACAAAAAAAAAAAAAATTCCCAACAAAAAAAAACCCCACACATTGGCCTGTGATCAGAGAGACATTGTGTTGCCCTGTCCATTCTACCAGCAGCTGGAGCAAAGACAGCACACAGAGCTCTCTGTTCAGCTAGGAGTTCCCTCCAGCTTCTAAACCCACTCATAAAACCTAAATTCCTGAGGTACTTTGGCTCAGGACCTTCTTCCCACCACCCCTGAACTCCATTTAGGACCACCTACCTGCTGCTACAGCGGCTGCTGACCCACTGGAGCTCCCACCTGTGTAGTGGTTAGGCTTGTAGGGATTCCTTGGGATCTTGTGGTACCTGAAGCAGACAAATAGTGTTGAATCTTTTCCTAGGAAGGACAGCGTGCATTACAGGGCAGGGAAAGATCCAGAAACACAGTTCAGGGATTTCAATCTCTTAGTAAAGAGATACCAATTGATCCCAGATAGTGCTATGTCCCTAAAAAAACAGATGCCAAAAAGACTTTTGCCTGAGATTCCAATCTCGTTACCACAAGCAGCTTATCCAAAAGGGACAGGCTCGAAGCAAGAGAAAGGATGCTGCTCCAGCTCTTCTGCCTGCAACAGCACTGTGCCATTACTGGATGCCACGGGGCATTACACAATTCCAAAAGGTGGAGCTGTTGGTGGCCAGCAATTCTTGCAGGCAAGCAAGTCAGCATCCTCAGCTCTGCCCTTTTTCCCAGAGCAGCAGCTCCCAAAGTCTCCATTCTGACCACAGTCCCCAGACCAAAGAGACCTGCCAGGCAGCTGGGTATCCAGCCAACCTCACACAGAAGGAAATGCCCTGCAGCTGAGGGGGAGCCCTGGTACATCCAGCTGCACATGCAGGAACCGTGGCTCTGCACATGGCTTATCAAGGCTGTGAGGACCACTGCTCTGGAATAGCAGTTCTCAGCTTGGCTAGAGCTGGAGAATTCACAGCAGTAAAGCAAATTCCAGTGAAGCTGTTTTAGCCAGGAAATAAAAACACTATGTCCTCCTGAGATGACTGTACCTTTTCTCACTGTTCTGGGCCTTTAGCCATTACTGTGACTGAGCATAAGATTACTATTTATTTGTTTTCTGTCACCACTTTTGTCTACCACTCATCCTGTAAACATTCACACCTCCAGGCCTGTAAGGCCTGGCAAATCAAGCTCCTTACTCAACAGACGCCACTTGGATCCTTTCCTTCCTTTGGTTTCAGGCATCTTCAGGCTTCCACAGCTACTCTGACCCTCTAATCTACAATGCTGGGTTTTCATTACCCTAGGGTTCTCCCTGCACAGGTCAGTTTGATTCTCACATGCTTGCCCTATTTTTGTACCCTTCCCTGTCAGCTTTGGACAGGCTTTTAGGTTTTTCTAGATCCAGGGGAAGAAAGGGGGAAGGGACTTTTACCTATTAGGGTTGCATCCAGTTGTTCCAGTCCCTAATTCATGCATATTTGAGACCCCAATAATGATAGCCCCAGCCTCTCGCAGCTTCCTGGCCACAGTAGCATCTTCTGTTTCAGGCTCTGTCCCAAGATACACTGTTCCCACTCGGTGATGGTAAGGTACCTTAGGCAAGAAGACACTTTATTATTCATCTTATTATTCATCCTAAACCAATGGCAAGGTAAGCAGGCACATGCACACTTCAGCTCAAAAGATCCCAGACATTAGGAACCCACAGAAGTAAGCAAGGGCTAGGAAGCTTCGCCACACTTCTTCAAATTGTCCTGTGCTGGTTTCTGTTAGGAGGGACACTAAACCTTGCAATATTTGGTCCTTCTCCCATGAGGAGGAGTCCTTTTAATACCATGATACAGAAGAGCAGAAACATGTAGACAGTCAAAAAATGCATTCTGCCTCCTTGCAGCAACACAATCACTATGCCCAGAGGCTGGAGAAGAATCCCCTTGGCCCCACACCACACAAGAGCTCTATTTTCCATTTTTCTACAGACAGAGCCTCAGCATTTCAGATCTGCAGGGCTCTGAAGCAAGGCACTGAGATTAGATGGATGCCAAAATACCAGATGGACTCATTTTCAGGGTATGCTACACACTCCACTTCAACACAGTAGTGGAAAGAATTTGTACATAAACAGGAGTCCCATCCTATAGGTAGGTCTCTGCAGAGCTTATGACAGCCTGATAGCACTGCCGGGAGCGTTCAATGGTAACTGTTGTTAGGCCACAGGCAAAACTCCTTGCAAGTGAGAATTTTCAAATTAACTTGCATATTTCTGAGGACAAGTATGTCCTTTAAGATAAGGAGAGGGGAAGCTTTGCCAGTGGAGCAGTCAGGGCCTGAGAAAAACACAGAGTGACAGATGCTTTTATCCATTCTCATTTCATCATAAGAGGTGCTGCTTCCCACCCCCACTCCCCATGGATTAAAGAGATCAGCACAAGATATGGAACATGTCTGCTGTACGCAAGATCTGTCTTCACCTGGTAAAACTTGTTAATCCTACTCATTACAAACCCTTTACATACTACCCCTTATTACAAACATATTCTCAGGCTTCTGCTGAGGAGTTGGCCTTAAAACCTTGTCGCAGTGAGTTAACCAGGTTGACCACCCGCAGCACAAACTGATGGCAAGAGAAAGAAACTCACCACTTTGAACTCTTCTTTCAGACACACAGGGATGCCATCCAGATAAGATAGGGTACTTTTATTCCTGTAACGAACAGTGGAGGCTTCAGCCATCTGCAGAGAGGGGGGAAAAAAAGTATATGTTATATATATTTAGTTGAGCTGAAGGTCACTACCAGTATCAGAACAGATACCAAAAACGGTTCTTAGGCTTCCACTCAGACAAACTGTAAAAGTTTGCCTCTTCTTTCACCATATGCTGATGGAAAACTACTGCTTGGAAGGATCTGTGCTAATGAATGCACATAAGCACAGAAGTCCTGTTTTAAACGTAGTCATCCAGCAGGAAACAGATTGCTTTAATGCTACCGCTCTTTGTGGGAAGGAAAGCAAACTTGTTTGTAGTCCTCTACACAAGGAGGGAAGAAAAACGTACATATTTTTCTGTGCAGTATCTCAGCAGAAGAGCCCCTGCCCCTTCTAATGGATGTTACCGCTCTTGGGGTGGCAGAGGCAGACATTTCCTACCAGAGGCAGACATTACCAGCATTATTTGCTCCCGATCCCACTGGACTATCGCTCTGAGTGGGGGTGTGGATTTGTCGCAGTCCTCCAGCACAGCAATGATGTTTGTTGCTACTTGAGATGGCGTCAGCTTCCCACTCCTACAGGACAGGAAAAGTTGGGACCTTGTTACAAGACCCCCACACCATACCCACACACCGGGTTTGTCTCTCATGTAGCAAGATGGCAGCTGTCACAGCTGTAGGCAAGAACCAGATAAGAATCTGTGTATGGCGATGACTTCAACACAGTTGACACCATGAGGACAGGAGACTCCCTTTCTTAAGGGGAGAATTTGGCTATGTAGCATGCTCCCAACCCTTGCAGTAGGGGCAGGAGCTAGGAGAATTCCTGAACCACCAGATAAATAGGGAAGGGCAGCTGACAGCTTTACAGAGTCCTCAAGCTCCTGAAATCCCAAGGCTGTGAAACTCCTCATATCGTGAGCTAAGACCAAGAGGCCAGCCCCCTTTATACAGGCCTCCCGTTATGGAGGAGGGGCTCACACCATTACTGTCATAACCCACCCTTAACAAACAGGCCTTCCCTCCGTCCTGGCAAAAGGCTATGTTTAACACCACAAACATATCTATCTGTGGCTGATATGAAAGCCTCACCTATAGCATCAGACTGCAGTGTCAGCCTTTTGCTCCAAGGTCACAGCCTGCTGGCAGAGGTGGCACTTCAGGAACAAGTGCCAGCAGTGCAAGAGGATTTATCTGAGCGCTCCACATCTGGCATGTGTCCCAGAGGCAACCAGGAGTTACCAAGAAGCCAAAAGCTCACAGAACCTCAGAGTCAGGGATGTGCTTTCAGCTCTTCCCCAGCTGGGTACATTTACTGGGTGAAAGCAATCAAGCTGCTCACAGGAGCACAAGCAGCTGGGGATCCAAAGGATTCTTCAGAGACCCACAATACGCGCAACTCGCATCATCCAGCTGAACCTTCCTCTCCTTCTCACTCATGTGTTTGGGCAAACAAGGTATGTAGAAATCTCTCCCAGAGAAGACTGACAATAAGCCAAGGAAAACAGCATTTAAATATCCTTGCAGGGCTTGTAAAAGTTGTGCCAGCTCTCCCAGTTGGCTTTCCTTTCTTATTCTATTAGAGGGAAAGGCCTACAGAGGGTGACGCTAAGCAGTGACACGTCAAGGACAATCCTAACAAAGAGATGCCTGAGAGCTTATGGAACAGTAACAGCCCACAGCAGGGGAACACGCGAGACAGGTTGTTTCCAGACCATAATTTCACCTACCGGTAGCAGTCCAGGTAGTCTTTGATCCCTTTGAAGCTAAACCCATTGCTAGCAGACTCGGACCTGCAAGGAAAGGATTAAAGGGGCACCTGTGAAACATCAAAACCATCTCTGTTTAGATCTGTAGACTTCAGCATCACAGTCCAATGCAGATTGGGCATCACACACTCACTGTAAACCTGCTGGTGACTGTTTGGACCACTCGCCTATACGCTTCAGCTCACGCTCTCTCCGACTCCTACCACACAGGCAGACACCAGCTGGAGCATTACAGAATAGCTAGAAAATACTGGTAAACCTACTCCTGGGATCTCTATCCCAAATTCAATCCAGACAGCCAGTAGCACATACAGTGTGTGGTGCAGAAGGGGAAGAGACCTTATGTTGCACACACAAGGATTCACATCAGCAAACTGCTTAAAAACTAAGTCAGTGGCTCTAGTACATAAAAAATAGACCATTTCTCATCACAACAGGATGAACATAAGATCATCTGAAGAGGCAGCTAAAATTATTAGTCCTGTTATGTCTCCATATCATCACCCAAACCAGAAGCCATATCCTGGAATAGGACAGCATATGGCACCATAATATGCTGCTGGGGACACAAAAACCAGAAGGCTGCATCCAGCCTGATCAATGCCTGCAGGAAATGTATCCCTCCCTCTAAAGCAAAGGGGACAAAAGTTTTTCCTTGCTCTAGCTTAAGAGCTCAAGCAGGGAGCAAGCTTAGGTCCTGCTAAAAGCCAAAACACACACAAATGAACTCACTCTGTGAGACGTTGATGAAGTGCAGCTCATAGACTTTTTCAGCAACTACTGGGTAAGCCCACAACTAAGAATGAAAATCAGATGAGGAGAGCGTTCATAGCAGCCCAGCTGCTCCCACCTCAGCATTAGATCTCAACGAGACACATGAGCCTGACTAACATTCTGCCTGGAATCTAGTAGGATTTAACCAAGTACAGGTTGCAATTAAGAAGCTGAACAGGCTTTTATCCAAGCAGCCTAACTAACAAAACTTGATTTCCTGTGGATCGTTTTCCTTATAACCAGCGTTCTTTCTCTCCTCCAAGCAATCCCCGTGTTCTCCTTGAGATTCCTTGCAGACAAGAAACAGCACACCTGCAAACTCACTTAAAGGGATGTACGTGCTGACTAGCCAACCTCTAGGTGTATCTGCTCTAATGGAGCAACCAGAGCCCTGGCAGGGGCCGAACTTGCTTTCTCCCCAGTAAGCAGACTCCCTGAAGCTTGCAGAAACTTCACGTTGCTTGTGACTACCAGTGATTTATAGGTTACAAAAGCAAAGATGACTGACAGCGCTATTTGTTCTGTAAAGTGGCTGGATGTGGAAAAACAATTTAATACAAATTATTGACAATGACGGTTTCCCACTAATATGTAACAGTGCCAACATGTGTGTTCTTCCACTCCACTGTTACCCATCACATACTGACCTTGTATCTACCAGCTGCTCGATAATATCTGAAGTGCTTTTAGCCTCAGACTTTTCTTCTGTAACCTCCGCAGCAACCTCAGGGATAAACGTGGGATCTTCGTGAATATCGAGTGAACGCATGAGCGAGAAGTTGTTCAGCCTGGAAGAGTGAGAATCACTGCTAGAGTCTGCAAGCTCTATCATGACTAATTTTTCACTGTTCAGAGGGAACTTTACCCAAGAACATTTCGTCTTAGCAGTCTGCTCTCACAGCAGGGAGTTGCAACAGTTACAAGATAATCTCTCACACCTTTCCTAAAGGCAGCATCAAATCTATTCTGCTTGCTTAACAAAGCCTCCCACCTCTTGACATAAGGCCAGCCAGCCTCTGTTCAACCCAAGCTGGGAAAGAAATGGTGACAGTTTTTGATTCACTCGAATTAGACATATCACCTACAGACCAATAAAGATGGAATGCAGAGGGAAAGAAAAGGAGAAAGCAGTGTAAGCCATACATTCAAGCACTAACCCTGTTAAAACAAGCATCTCCTCAGACTTTTCCATGACCTGCTTCAACATAGTTCATTTGCAACCAAATACAACAGGGACTGCAGCACAAGTCCAGGGCTTGGAGCACACAAAGCCAGGAAATCAAGACCCTGTCATAGATGTCAAGGAATGATCTGCTGTATAACAGCAGTGACATTTGTCTGTGTTTGATTCACTCAAAAAGCCCATGCCCCAAGTAAAAATTCAGGGGTACCAATTGTGTTTAATACATTTCTTGGTGTTCTGCACAGACAACCCAACAAGTGACAGGCAAACTATGTGAAGCAAGTGTGAGCCTGAGGTTCCTGACACCTCCTACCTGAGTGGCTCTTAGTGCAACATACATCTGAAAGCATGCTTTCTAAGCAAAACCATAAGTGAGAGAGAAGGAGAAAAGGCTGACCTAAAATAGTGAATATCTTTAATAAACCTCTCAACTTCATGTCTGGTCTCATTTCCCCACTACTACTATTCTTTTACCACTACCAGTGATAAACACAGCAGATTCACCCATCCTTTGCGCAGCTTTGAAAGAAAAGACTGCACTTTAGCAAAAGAAAAGAAAGGCAAAGAAGCAAGATGGAGGATTCAGTTTCTATGCACCTGCCTGAGTGTGAAAAAAGGTTAATCGTTTCTGTTAGAGACTCACTCAAACCAGAGTAGTTAAAAAATAACCTAGTAAACAATATCTATGACATAATCTTGCTCCCTCTCCAATCACTTTATGCAGCTTCCCTTGTAGAAAAGGTCATTTCAGATAGCCTGTAAGTGGTACACAATGCAAGCATTTGGAAAAAAAAAAAGAAAGAAGAAACTTGGAGGGGGAGAAAACTCCCCACCCTTACCTTATTAAGAATGGCAGTAAGCAGATCTGTCCAAAAGCCTAGAAGAAAACAAGCAGAAACACTGGTTTGCAGTAACTTTGACCTGAACACTTTCCTCACTAGACAAGGAATGCTGAATGTGCTCACAATAGCTTCAAAGCACCCTTGAGAGCATGCAATGCTCTGTAGTAAAAAAATAGCACCAATCCTTCTATTTCAGGCCACAAAATTGGCCCAAAATGCTTTCCCTGCACCTCTCATATTTATATAACTACAAAGAGTGTATTCTTTGGCTTTCCTGCCTTGGTCTGGAAAGTGGGCAGCTGCAGGCTGCAACACTGTTAAGAGGCATCTAGATAGCTCCCATCCGTCCCTTTCTTCATCCACAGATTATGCAAACATTGTATAAAATAGAAGCCCATTATTTTGTTTCTCCCCGTTAAGATCTTTCCTGTTGCTCAACCAGCTCCTGCAGTAAAGTGAGTCAATTTGGAAAAGCATGAGAAATTTAGAGATCTTATGCTAGCAGGCAGATGAAATACTTTGGTTCCCAGTGTACAAATACCATTGGCCACAAAGAGACCAGCCTTGTTCTAGCCTGTTGCAATAGCTCAACAATAGATTTCAAAAACCTGTTAAGGGATGTGCAAATACAGGACAAGTCTGAAGCAAGGATAATGCTCCTAGATCCATGAAGTGATATGTTGCCTCACACATTACATAAGAATTACAGTCTCTTTTTTTCCTAATCTACATCTAATCTAAGACAGCACAATTCTGTAAGAGCCTGAGAATCTTGTGTCCCCTCTCCAAGGGAGACTTCAGGAAAGGAAACAAGTCCACGGACACGCACCAGCAGCAGCCACAATGCAGAGGATAAAAAGGTATTCTGGTTGTTACATCTTGGAAGAAAGCCACTTGCAGGGTGTTCTCATGAATAAAGGCACAGCCCATCACTAGCTTTCAATGCAGGCCCCACCAGACGCCAAGCTCTGTAACAGGCCACACTGCTGCAATGAGACTTTTGTGCCTAACCTTGACACTGGCTCAAAAGGAAAGGCCAAGCAGCAGCAACAACAAAATCCACCGGCTTTCAGGTGGACGATGCTGCAAGGTGCTCAGTGCCAAGGGGACGCAAGTTATTTCTCCACCCAGCACCCTGCTATACAGTGGTCATGCCTCCTCCACATCGGCCTCGGTGGGAATCAACCCGCAGGCTCAAATGCACCACAAAGCTCACCCAAGGAAGAGCTCTGGGGGGGACAACTGCCTTCATGGGGGAAAGGCTGCCTTCAGCACCAAAGCCCACCCAAGGAAGAGCTCTGGGGGGGACCACTGACTTCAGTACCAAAGCTCACCCGAGGAAGAGCTCTGGGGGGGACCACTGACTTCAGTACCAAAGCTCACCCGAGGAAGAGCTCTGGGGGGGACCACTGACTTCAGTACCAAAGCTCACCCGAGGAAGAGCTCTGGGGGGGACCACTGACTTCAGTACCAAAGCTCACCCGAGGAAGAGCTCTGGGGGGGACCACTGACTTCAGTACCAAAGCTCACCCGAGGAAGAGCTCTGGGGGGGACCACTGACTTCAGTACCAAAGCTCACCCGAGGAAGAGCTCTGGGGGGGACCACTGACTTCAGTACCAAAGCTCACCCGAGGAAGAGCTCTGGGGGGGACCACTGACTTCAGTACCAAAGCTCACCCGAGGAAGAGCTCTGGGGGGGACCACTGACTTCAGTACCAAAGCTCACCCGAGGAAGAGCTCTGGGGGGGACCACTGACTTCAGTACCAAAGCTCACCCGAGGAAGAGCTCTGGGGGGACAACTGCTTTCAGCACCAAAGCCCACCCAAGGAAGAGCCCTGGGGGCACAACTGCCTTCATGGGGGAACAGCTGCCTTCAGTGCCAAAGCCCACCCGAGGAAGAGCTCTGGGGGGATGAATGCCTTTAACGCCAAAGCCCACCTGAGGAAGAGCTCTGGGGGGACAACTGCCTTCAGCACCAAAGCCCACCCAATGAAGAGCTCTATGGGGGAACAGCTGCCTTCAGTGCCAAAGCCCACCCGAGGAAGAGCTCTGGGGGGATGAATGCCTTTAACGCCAAAGCCCACCTGAGGAAGAGCTCTGGGGGGACAACTGCCTTCAGCACCAAAGCCCGCCCAATGAAGAGCTCTTGGGGGGGACAACTGCCTTCAGCCCCAAAGCCCCCCCCATGAAGAGCTCTTGGGGGGGACAACTGCCTTCAGCACCAAAGCCCACCCAAGGAAGACCTCTGAGGGGGACAACTGCCTTCAACACCTTCTCTGCCAACCCCACCCTGGGGAAAGCTGGTGGCGGCTGCGTTGCGAGTTTGATGTCGACTTCGGGCCCCCCACGCCCCAGGCCTCTCACAACACCCCGACCCCGAGGCCAGCTCTCTGGCATCCCACCTGGGGGACAGGGCGACCGCAGAACCAGGCAGAAAGCCACCACCTCCCTACATTTTCCCTACAAACGCGGGTTCTACCTTCCCACCGACACCACTCCCTCCCCTCCTTCCCTCCCAAACCCCCGGCGGCCTCGGCCGGTTTCCCCCAGCCACCCCGGGTTTTAATGCCTTGTTTACACCAGGCAGCCCCGGTGCCGGCCGGGGGGGCGGCCCCTCGCCGGGACTCACCGTGTTGGCCACATGGACGAAGAGGCGCAGTCCGGAGCCGCACAGCCGCGGTGCCCACTGCGGAGAGGAGGCGACAGGTGAACGCCGGGCTCTGCTCTGCTCCCCCCCGCCGCCCGGCCGCCCTCCCGCCTCCCTCCCCGGCACTCACGGCGTCCCGCGGCGGGCTGCGGCCCCGCTTCTCGGCCCGGCCGGGCTCCCGGCGGCGCAGCACGGCCCCGGCGCTGCCGGTGTGCCGCCGCACGCAGCACAGGTAGAAAGCGGCGGCCGGCAGCAGCAGCGAGAGGAGGAACAGCAGCAACGGCGACGCCATCTCCCTCTCTTCCCCTCAGCCCGGCGGGCGGCGGTGAGCCCTCCCGAGGTCGGGGCGGTGCTCGGGCCTGGCCCCGCCTTGCCACCGCGGGCGCCTGCGCCCCCGCCG